AAAGAGACTGAGCTAAGAATGCATATGCAGCTTCCAGCAGCAAGCATAGCATGTGCATGCAGATAGCCGACCGCAGCACAGCACAATTTGCATCTTTTGAGAGCTGCTCCTTGTTTTGGGAGAAGATAATCGTTAACTACTGCTTACAAAGTGCTTGAAATTCTATGGAGGAAGCGAAGCATGCCAGAGCTGCATGCCATAGTGTCATTGACACCAGAAACAGCGCAACCCATGACAACTCAATGAAGCTTTCTTGTGCCGCACTCGCCAGCGTTCATCCGACTTCTCCTAATGCGATTGGAGTTCCCGTCCAGTTGCCTGAGCTGCGGCCGTTCTTTCCGTAGAACGGCGGCAGTTCTTTGCGTGGCTACTGAACTGTCCCCTGCTGCGCTAGCCTCTACGCGCCCTTGGCCCCGAGTCGCATGACTTTGTATTCGAAAAGGCCCAGTTTGCATCTAAAGGCTGTTTTTCAACTAACCTCTGGAGCCATCCCGGTATGATATATTTTCATATGTATTGCCAAATTGCATTACTCTGCACTACAGGCAACCTGAGACTGCATGGAAGTGTCTAACAGGGTTATGCGCACTACGCATGTGAGAAACTCCCCTTCAGAGCGCAGCTTGCAGCTTGCAAGCAAGAAGGGCGTGTGCAGCATCGGAAGTGTTATCGTACATGTGTACTGTCACAACTCCCTTAGCTCGTTGGTTCTATCATTTTTCTTCGTATAGTGGCTGCGGGCTGCTAAAAGTAACTGCTAGTACCGCTGCAGTGTTATAAGCCCGTGGCGCCACCGGCAGGAGGGGCCGCTGGTAGGCAAGAGATGCCCTTATAACTGAAAAGGCACAGGTTAGGGGAAAACGTGACAATAATGTGAAGGCAGCTCCACTCGAGCCCTGCTGCTGATCTCGCCGTTTGGCTGCCGCTGCTGCCGCCAGCAGAGTCGACCGCTGCACGCGCCACCCCAGCAGCAGAACTGGTATCAACCTGCCGTACATTGAGAGCACCAACCGCAGCATCCGCTCCCGTTTCTGCTGATCGTGGTACTGCTTACGGGCAGCCGGATAGTGGCCACCACGAAGAGACAGGGCGAAATAACATGTAAGAGCTGCTGCGGGCTGTGTAAGCAATTCGAAAGCTACAGACGTACCGGAATGGTGGAGAACAACCAGGCGCAGCTTCGGGTCAGGCGATGGTGTAGGCTAGCGGAGCTGGAGAAAATTCCGGCAGAAGACTGAACGGTTATGCTACAAATCCGTTCCGGATAGAAAAGGAAATCAAGCCACTACGATTATTTTTGCAAGATACAGGGTCGCAAGTACAGCGTACAGTTGGTGTGCGCCGCTCGATCAGACCGTCCGCGTGTTTCGCTGTGGTCAGTTTATGGTCAGCATTAAGCCGCTTCATGAATTGGAGCCACAACCCGCTAACAGTGCTTCAGCTTGGCTCGTTAAGGGGCGGCTTGGGCCGGCGGGCAGGCCCAACCCGAAAGTCTGGGCCGGCAGAGAAAAGGTGGCGTGGCACGGGGTGCAACGCATCCTGCTGCAACTCGTGTTGCAACGCATTTCCAAATACATTCACAAACAAGCCCTATTGCTGCATGCATTAACATTATAGACGAATGTTGAGCACTTACTTGGCCCTCTGGGGCCAGCCTGAACTCGCATAGGAATACACAGACATCACACCGAGCATACTACATTGCCACCACCAGAAGTAGACTTTCGCGTCCCCTCATTGGCTGATGCGAAAAGGAGAGAGTTTGCCAAGAAATGCAACGTACCTTGTTGTAACTCCTGCACCAGGGTAACCCTGCAAGCAGGCCTCCTTTATTCTGTGCACCGAAACTGTGTACATCAGCAAAACACTCACTTCGCAGTGAGAAGCCAGCCTGTGTAAAGGTAGACGTGCATGCGCCAGCATCAAACATACCATGGTGCACTGTGGATCCCCGCAGGTAGCTAGGTAGTGTAGCTAGTCGATTAGCCGTATCTAGAACGATGTCTGCTTCGCTCGGTTGTTTGTTTGCGTTGTAGTTCAGGAGCTGGAGTCCCTCAAGGTGCCCAGACGAACATACATAATCCCTTCAAAGCATTATGCGACACTAACGATTGCAGCAAACAAAGAAACAGTTAAAAGAAAAACGAAAACTCCCGCAGAACCGCTGACAAAAAAATCGCTGAAGCCAAGGCCAGTGCAACTGGCAGGCGACGCTGGAAGCGGCCCCAAAGCCTAGCTGCCCGGCCAGTGCTCGCTTGGAGTCATAAACTTTACAGAAGGACTCATTAGTAGCGGGGTTCTCCTGTCTCCGTTGGGAGACAACTGCTCTCCTCCACAACATCCTACAGCAACAGTCCCCTACTGTCAGGAGACAGTCATCTCCTCCTTTCCTCCTCTTCTCAGCGACAGTAACTCCCCGTCCCTGGGTGAGTCTTGCGAGACAAACACCCCCTACCACCCTTATTGCACTACAACTGCCCCTCTCTATGTTCCCTTACAACTCCCCCCTCAGGGTTTACACCCGAAGAAAACGCAGTTCGTCCCCTTCACGCACCAAGCAAACTTACTCAGGCGCAGAGCCGCTCACCAGTACAACTGCCGACCCCACAGGACCGTCCCCAAGCCGATCCCGCAAGCCGGAAGCTGCACTATTCATTAGACAGCACAGAAGAAACAACAGCAGCCAGAGGAGACGTCTACACATACACACCACTGATGTGTGCAAGCAGTGTCATAGCCCCTACACACTGAACGCGCATGCATACTCATAACCTCTATCCATACACCTACTGCAGCTGCAGCTGCTCATGCACCGTTACTGCCGCCAGGGTGGTGTCGCCGTAGTGTTGCTCCTGCGGTGCTGCTCGTGTCGCACCCGCAGCAACAAAAACAAAAACATACTGAACTAGACGATGAACACAAACAAACGCCACGAGAGCACAACAACCCCACCAGCATAGTGCAGCCCCAGCGCATGCAACGGCCGTAGAAGGGCACGGCCTCGCTGCCAGTTCACTTGCTGCTGTAGCAGCGTATACGGGTCCTCAGGCTTAATCAGAGCAAGGATAACAACATTTAGTTGTGTGGGTCTCCTCCATCGGCTACAGCA